CTAACAAAAATTCGTAAATTTATCTATAGATTTACAATATTTTTCTGAGAAGCATTAAACTCTTTTAATTTAAATTTTATTAAAAAAATTACGGAAGATGGTTTTTTTTTTCTGAGTTTATTTTTAGTAAACTAATTTAAGAAATATTTTTAATCATAGATTTGTTTGAAATGAGTTATTTAACAAATTTCCTATTTCTAAATTTGATGTTAGTTGATTACTTAAAAATGTTAGCAATGAATTACTACTTAAAATGATTGAATCATTTTAAATAGAAGAATAACGCAATTCCAAAACCTGGAAATTTTCTGCATTTTTAAAATTGCTTCGGATTTTCAGGAACTTTGTTGAATTATGTTAAAACTTCTCTAAAATTTTATAGAAACTTCTGATTCCATCGAGTTCTAGGATTCTCTAGTATTCACTCGATGAGTTTTATTGAGCTTTTATTAAAATTTATTAGGTATTTAAATGGAAGCTAATACTAAATGTATATAAGTGTTAAGAAAATCTGTCAAAATATCTTTCTATTCTTTTGACAGTATGTATTGTTTTATTGCATATCACATTTGTCGTGATATACTGGTAATGTTATTAAAACAACAGTAAATCCAATTGGCTCAACAAGCAGCAAAATTTACTTCTAATTCACTGATGAAAAAACATTATTTAGATGAGAGAAGGGAAAGTTTTTCAACTGAAAGTTATTTTTTCATTAGCTCAAAATGTTGCAAACTCATATGCAGGTAGTATTTGATTAATATTGTTGAAGAGACACATATATTGAGGGAAAATGACATTACTTATCAAAAATCTTCAAAAAAGTTTAGTCAAATTGAATCTTTTTGAATCGACTGATACAGATGAAGCTTCGCTTGTCGAGCAACGTTCCACTACACGTATTTACATTGTCACTCTTCTATTGGCTATATCTATTATATTCATCATTTCAACCGTACGGATTCAAAGTTATCAAATCGAAGTAACAAGTCCTTCGTATTCTACCTATAGTCACTTGTTGACTCTTGACAAGTATCATACACTTAGATGTCCATGCACTGAAATATCATCGACTTATGGACAGTTTGTTCAAGTAACAGCTTATTATTATGATGTATGTTCAAGTGATCTTATTTCATCCGATTGGATCAATTTTCTATTCAATATGATAGATTCGCCAATGCTTTATTCATTAGTATTCGAGAAAACGGCCATTTATAGCTTTCAATTACTCCGAGAACTTTGTCATTCGTCGCAAATTTTCGTCAACGATAGCCTTCTCACATTCTATTCTACTCGAGTCATTTCTGACCAGTTATTGAGTGAACAGGTGTTGAGAGCTCAGACGTATGCAGCCATAAATGATTTTAAATCAAATATCATTCAATCATTTCAATTTACACTTACATTTCTTCGTACATTCATTTCGAATAGTCGACTGATTTCGGCTGCTAATACAGCTTATTCTCTATTTGTTTATAACTATACTAGTTCGAATATAGCTCTTTCGACTGGTCAAACGTTTATTCTCTCCAGTGTTGATAAGTGTCGATGTTCTATTTCATCCAAATGCCATTTATTGGCTGAAAAAGAAGATTTGGAACAAACTAATAGCTACTTTTTTTTTACAAGGAACAAACTCACAACTCATACCCGATTGGTATGTTGCCTGTTGGCCGATAGAATCGCTTCTGCTTTCTTCACTGAACATATTTTATAATCAATCGGCTCTTGAGGACATCGTCAATACGACTCATTTTTCAGTTATTCATCTCTCGAACTCCAGCCACTTTAATATGAGTACTGCAATCGATAGAATCGTGAACGAACTCTTTATTGAAGAATGGGTAATAAATATTTCGTAAGTTGCTTTCGATTCATTGTGTAAGAGCTTTTATTTTTATGTTGTTCTAAGGTACTTATTGTATTACAATATTTGTAAGCCGCGTTCATGCGTGTATCAAGTTGAAAAACATCAAAGTATTCTGATTTTATTTACTACATTTCTTGGTATTGTTGGTGGGCTAACTGTCACAATTCGATCGGTGATTTCTGTCGTTATCAAATATGTGTTTCGTCTCGTTCGTCGACGCCGAAATCAACTTCCGACAATAACTGTTCATGGTGAGTATAAAGTCATATGATTGGATCACTTGAGATCTTTCGAAACAAAGAAGCTAAACGCTTATTAGTTCGCGCAGGATCTATTGAATGCAACCATTGATACATGCATTAATCGAGTCAAAATGCATTCAATTCTTGGTTGATCAACGTTTGAAAAGGAAGGATGAGTATGTCCAGACGCAATACTGATGAAATATTTTGGTACTTTACGCTTTCCAATCGATATTTAAAAAATAGAAAAGAAATTAATCTCAACCTATTTTATACTTGAGCTACACCATCATCTGCATAAATCGATAATGGTTTTAGTTGAACATAGGCAGTTGATTAAATAAAGTCAAATTTAAGCAAGCAATTAGAAGGCAGACATATAGTAGAGATATTCATAGTGACAGTGAGGGATTTTTGTCTCGAGAGCAATACTAAAATGCATCAACTCGAATAGAATATTAGCGTTGACAAATATTTTAATCTCACGTCAGATTAAACCAGGTTTATCGATTACTAACAGCTGTTCTAGTTTAAAACAATCTAAGGCCGTGAAATTTAAAACTATTATCTGACTAAAACTGCGCTATGTCGCAGTAACAACTGTTTTTCTATTGTTTCCCATGATGTGATGCACTAGCATCGCATTAGTCTTTTATGTTTTGTTCTCAAGGTATGACAACGATAAATGTTCAGCCATGATGAGCATCACTGGCATGTAGAGCCAATATTCCTGGTTGGAACAGTTTTTTGACAGCTGATAAAAAAACAGCTCTAATAGATATGATTAACCCTATAACTTTTTTCAATTTTTTTTACATAATTGAATGCAGCATCGTTTGTTGCATCAAATGATGCAAAAATCATCAAAAATGTATGAATTATTACAGGTAGTTTGAAGAATACACTATCTGTTCTAGATAAGAACACTTTTTCTAAATAGAATAGCAAACATACAAAATGTTCCTTATTGGAATATCAAACGAAGCACAAGTAACAGATATCAATATTTGAAAAAAGCATTTGTTTTCATAGTCTTAACTTCGAGATTTTCATTTTCTTCTCGAACAAAAAATGTTCCTCATTCAAAGAGAAATATTTATCTCCAGATTCAGTTTTATATCGTTTTTATTCAGTGGCATATTATTAGATCTTTGAACATCCTGATTGTTCTAAATAAGTACACTAATTTGTTAGAACAACAAGCAAAAAATGTTCCGTAATAAAATAGACAATGTAAACTACATAGAAATCTCATCAAAACCAGTAAACAAACCTATTATATAACGCGAACATCGAAATTCAATTCTGATCCCATTTCAAAAACAAACTTGAAAAATCATTACAATACTATTTGATTTTTATTATAAGAAAATAAATTTAATGAATATACGTTTATATAGCTTTAGTTTGTGCATTTTCTCTATGGAGTCATAAAATATATGACAAAGTAAACCGTCGTATTCATTGTTTATGTGTGCCTAATGTAGACAAATGAATAGGTTGAAATTTCTTATTCAAGTGCATATCGTTAAAATCAGCACCAGAATTGATTTTCCTCCTGGAAGAAAAAAAGAAAACATATGAACGAAGTAGAATTAAATTTTACTTGTATGCTTCACACAATTGTAGTTCTACCAATTTGGTCAAAGCAACGTGTATTGTCGACCATTACTACAATTCTTCTTGAATTCAATCTGTTTAAATCTGCTAAACATACTCAAGCACAAGATTTAACGCGACAACGATGGTCAACTCGTTTATTTATTATATTTTTGTGTATTGCGGTATTTATTATTACTACATACAACAGCATCAATCAACAAATAAAAACAGTTGTTGTCAATAATCCACGCCTTGATACTATTGAAAAATGGCAAGCAGATTCAATGGTTGCTTTATCTTTACGTTGTCCATGCTCACAAATCTCATCTCCTTATAAAAATTTCATACGTCTTACACCCAAATATCATCAAATATGTTCTAGTTATTTCATTACATTGGAATGGATGGACAGTATTAACGCAGCTGCTAACATCGCAATACACCTGTACTTTGCAGATTTTCGGGCTAGTTCAGATTTTTTTAAACTATTACAATCACTCTGTACATTTGCTAATAATACAATTTCTAATGCTTTAATAAGTTTCGGTAATACTCACTTTGTTACAGCTGAATTTCTTAAACGTCAAGTATTCGAGAACCAAATGAATACATCTGCGGAATCCTTTATACAATCAACAGTCAACGAATTCATGCATTTGGTACATTTGCTTGCGAATGTTACACAAATAAATCAATTCATCACAGGAGCCTATACTAATTTTGATGTTGAACTGGCTAATTATTCAGACAAAGCAAATAACACATTTTATCCTTACTTGAAGACTGCTTCATTACTTACTATTAACAGTGAAACAATATCGTGTTACTGTATGAATGATACATGGTGCAAAATTCAAGTGGGTATCTATACTGCATCGAAAAATACTTATCGTAACTATTCTGTACCTGGTATGTTCGTTGGTTGTACACCTATTTTATCGTTATTCGTCTCGACACTCGAATGTTTTTATGATGATAGCGATTGCTTTGTCAAAATTGATCGAATGATCGGTACAGATTTCTTTGCAATCTCTTCTCGTCTTGATTCTCATTTATCAAGTCAATTTTCACACAACTCTAGCATCGGTACCCTTCTTGAACACCTTTTCATTGAATTATGGACAATGAATACATCGTACATAGATTCTATTAAGTGGTCAGATTTTCTCATTCTGTTTTGTTCTTGTTGTATATTTAGGTTTGAAAGCTACTTCAATGCCTGTATAGTTCACTCATGTTCCTATACGATCCTTCAACATAACAATGTAATCGAAATATTTGTGATTCTCATTGGTCTTATTGGTGGAATTTCGACAGCTTTATCGTTTGCCGTACCATTAATTGTTAAATTAGGATTTTTCATTATCGAACGGTGTAATCGTGATGCTCGTCGGCGACAACAATTATTACGAGCGAACCAAACAGAAAACCATTCTACATCAAGTGAGATATTAACAATGATTTTTTTTTCTTAAACTGTTGAGCAATAGAAATAAAATTTAAAAATACGTTCTGCCGATAGTAATGTTTCGTTATAAGAAACTTCTGACTTCTGCTCAGGTGTGATTTCGAAGATCAAGAATAAATACTGTTACCCAATTTATTCTACCCATTGTTATGAATCATTTTCCGTTTGTTTTTTTTTCTAAGGGCTTCAGCTCTCAATGCATATAGCAACCATGCGTGTGAACCTGATAAAAATATTACATAATATGAATTTATTTTCAAATCCAAACAAGGCTGTTGAAGATGAACACAATATTCGTGTACAAATTTTATCGACTAGAATTTACATTATTCTACTTGGACTTACATTGATTATACTCAATTTCTATTCATCTCTCAGATATACAACAAATATAACAACAATAGACATATCCAGTGTTGATGATTATGTGAAGCTTACAAAAAAGTACACAAGCCACAGTTCCACATCAAAGGTTGAATGTCCTTGTAAAACAGTATCGATTGCCCATTCATTTTATATTCATCAACTTGAACCATCATTTCACGATATATGTTCATCAGATGCTCTCAGTAATGAATGGTTGAACATTTTATTCGAGATTTATTTAAATCTCGATTATCCTCCATCGCACACATATACATTTGAAGGCACAGCTTTTGCACATTATCAAGCGTTGAAAATGATGTGCGATTTAATAAAAGAAGCAGTAGATGCTGCACAAACACTATTTATCAGTTCAACTGTGATCACGTCACAAATGATACATCCAGATCAATTCGAAAAAGATACAAAAGCAGCCATCGAACAATTCCAAAGAAATATACCAAACAATTTTCTTCATGTGTTAGAGCTCGTGCGGGGATTCAATCAAGCCAATGGTCTTGTCTCTGTCTATTCTACGAACTGGCACATGTTACCTGTCTCCGCTGATGTCAATGTAGAGCCGGCTATCATCTCTTTTGAGCCTCTATATTACGGAGAATGCAATTGTGCTACAACAGCTACTTGTCATCAATTACTAGAATCTTCAGTACCTGGGTATGCTGTCGGTTGTGTACCAGTCGAGTCTTTACAGCAATCAACGGTCGAATGTCATTATAATCTGTCATGTATTCAATCCTTGTATTCTTATGTAACTGGTGAGTGTCTTTAAAATAAAGACTATACTTAGCATATTTAATTGTTCTATTCAGGTTCTTACAATATAACTGACCATATTTTGCCCTTGAATAATACACATACACGTTTTTTTTCAAATTCCACAATACGTACTTTAATTGAAAATATGTTTATAGAATCGTGGTCTTCACGTATCTCATTCGATAACTTCTTTCATCAATGTCATCCATCAACATGTTCGATTACAATTATTGAACGACTCAATCTTCTCTATGTATTCACAACACTAACTGGTATTTATGGTGGAATCTCCATAGTGCTGAGATTAATTAGTCCACTTATGGCAAAGTTTCTCTACAAATGGTTCATTAAATTATAGAGCATGAATGACACATATTTTATGAATTGAGCGTCGAAAAATACGTGAACTAGGTTCTTCATAACAGACTATGCTTATTTTGTACTGCACTGTTTTTATTCATATGCGAAAATATCTTTTGAACAAGCTTAATATACACTGCTTAATTTGCATAATAAACTTCTACAAAAGCTTAAACTGCCTTTGAGAAAATACATGATACAACAGACACCATCATCTTGAAAATATACGTGTGGATATTCGTCGACCTAACATCCACACCATTCATAATGCCTTAAGTATTCTAATGAAATGTTTAATCTTGAATCTCAAGCTTGGATTTCGAAATATATTAATGGATGTGTATTTTTGTTGACACTCATACAATGTAATTTCAATCTTAATTCGAAAAATTCCTTTCTTATTTCATAAGAAATTTAAAAAATATTCTAAACTTACATCATAATAAAATTTAGTGATACACTAAAACCTCTCTTAGTGGATACCTCCATATAATGGACATCTCCTTATAGTGGACACTTTTTGGCGGTCTCTTTTTCATAAATAATCTCTCTATAGTGGACACTGATTATGAATTCAAAGAGAATGTAGAGATGAAATATCTTTACTCATTCAAATTAATGACTCTTTATTCATCGGATGGTAGAATGACAAAAAAAATCATGTTAATAGAAAAGAAAGAACACACTCTTTGTCTTGAATAAGAGAGAGGGCTAAATTTACTGTCGTATTGTAACATTTGTCTCATTTTTTGCCACTATTAGGAGAAAGGGTGTGGGTGGGTGTGTGAATGTGAGTGTGGATGCGGGTGTGGGTGTGATTTGAGTAACTGTTAACAAACACACCCGCACTCACACCCCACCTTTGATGTCAATGAAACAATATCTCATTTGATAGCGAATGGCTTAGCAGCATTCATCTAAAGTAAAAAAAAAACATTTGGAAAAAGTAAGTGCCGTTTATTAAAATGAAAAACAATATTAAAAATGTGTTTTCAATTTATATCTTTGATTACCTATGAGGTTTTATTGAATTGAAGTAGTCACTATCTTAACGAGTCACTTTATTATATATCATCGTAGAGCAGTGACGAACTTTAAAAATTTAAAACACGAATATCGTGTAAGCACGGGTGTGAGTGGGTATTTCTCTTCTCGCACACTTCGCACTCACACTCACACCACATGAACAGTTGTAATCAGAGATGCCAACAGGCCACTTTTTTCTGGCCTGGCCTGGCCTGCTGCCTGGCCTGGCCTGACTTAGCCTACAGGCCAGGCCAAAAGTCAAAGAGTGGCCTGCAGCCTGGCCTGGCCTGACCTGCAGGCCAAACCAGGCCAATTGATGTTT